TAGAAGCAGGCGGGGGTGGGGGTGGGGTGATGGGAGGTAACCTCCGGACACTGGTGCTGGAAAATGTACACTGGTTGAGGGATGGGTGTTGAAATACTGTATGACATCCAATCATGAACAGCTTTGTAAGGGTATGTTTCATAGTGATTCAATAAAAAAGTTTTTTAAAAAAAGAAAGTTGCAGAAAAGACCAACAAGCTCAATGAGTGAAAACTATAACAGAGAAGGCTAAAGTAGCACCAGCCAGCTCAGTAAGTCTTTAAAAATGATTTTATTAACAGCATTATGAGATATAACAATTATCAAAAATTGACTTTTATTTTGATTTATTTTTTGATGGACTCTAGCGATAGCACAGTGGGTAGGGTGTTTGCCTTGCATGCGGCAGACCTGGGTTCAATTCCTCCATCCCTCTTGGAGAGCCTGGCAAGCTACCAAGAGTATCCCGCCCACACAGCAGAGCCTGGCAAGTTCCCCGTGGCGTATCTGATATGCCAAACAGTAACAACAAGTCTCACAAAAAAGACATCACTGGTGCCTGCTCGAGCAAATTGATGAACAATGGGATCACCATGCTGTGCTACAGTATTTTTGATAATCCTATTTGCCATTTTGCTATAACAAGCAATATGAAGTAAATTTATTTGTGCCTGCTAAGGGGTGGGGGGTTGGGGGTGAGTGGGAAGCTGAGGACATTGGTGGAGGGAAGTTCTCACAGGTAGTGGAATTGGTATTGGAACTCTGAATGAGTGAAACAACTGCATAATGAACAGCTTTGTAAATAATATTGTTATAATAAAAATATACAATATGTTCTTGACCAGGGAGATAGCACCAAGGGCATCTTTGCATGTTTATGCTTTGCATGTGGAAGACCCAGGTTTGAACCTTTCATGGTCTCCCGATCACGACTACGAGCACTCCCCAAGTACTGAGTCAGGAGTAATCTTCAAACACTGTGGCGCTGTGGTTTAGCTCCCAGACCAAAAGAAATAAAAATGAATGTTTTTTTCAGATCCTGTCCATTGTGATCATTCCCTGCTTTTTTGTCATAATGGTCTCTTCTCTATCTTACCTACCCTCAGCCCCATACACACTTGTGGTTAGTTCCAACCTTAACCACTTTGCCTAGCCTCTGTTTTCCCTGGCCATAGATATTAGTCTTCTACTATATATATATTTTATATACAACAAATGAATGCAGTTATTCTATATATGTCCCTCTTCTTTTGACTCATTTCACTCAGCATGTCCATCCATTTATAGACCAGGGTGAGAAGTCATGGTAGAGCACTTTCCTTATAGGTGTTGTTAGGGCCTGAAGTGATAATTCAACAGAAAGGGTGGTTAAAAAATAAAAAAGAAAGAAAGAAAATGTCATGTTTCCTTCATGTATCCATCATTTCTGATAAAAAAAATCTATTGCTAATCCTTATAAAGGTACCTAGCACTGACAATCTGATTCTGTTGGGTCTCAAGAATCTCCCATTGTTGAAGTCAGATAAATATTACAACAGATAACGCACTTGACTTGCATTCAACATGACCCTGTTCCCAAGCATCCCAATTAATCACTCCTGAGCACAGGGCCGGACTACTTCCTGAGCACTACTTGGTGTGGCCCCAAAGCAAAAAGAAGAGTATTCCTTTATATTTTTTATCATTTTAAATATAATCTGTCCTGCTGGGAAAGATTTTGTTTATCTTTTTTGAGAGTCATTAAATTCTTTGGAGATGAATATGTGTGTTTTTTATCAGACAAAAGATGCTTTGCACCAGTCTTCCTTTAAAGATTCTTTCTACCCACTTTGCTTGCCCTGGGCTTCTAACACTCCCTTTTTATGTATGTTGGTGTTTCATTGTGTTCCACAAGTCTCTTGGGCCTTTTTCCTTTTTCTTCCTTCCTGTTTCTTTCTACTTAGTATACTAGATAATGGCTTTAGCCCTATCTCTAAGTTTAGCAAGTCTTTGTTGTATTTGCTCTTAACTGCTCCTGAAGTTCTCTAGTGAACTTGTCACATCTGTTGTTGCATTTTCAGCTCCAGAATAATCCTTCAGTCTATTTTTGTAGTTTCTGATTCATTATTTATATTCTATTTATCCTATTTTCTTTTCTTTCAGTTTTCTTATGCTCTTTTAAGATAATTTACACATGATCTTTGAGCATATGTTCAGATAGTGGAGTTAAAATTTCTATGCAATTTTTTCAATGTCTGTGTTTCCACAAAGACAATTCCTGTTAATATATTCCTTAAACTAAACATGCTTTAGTCTTCTTTCTTTCTTTCTCTCTTTCTCTCTTTCTTTCTCTCTCTTTCTTTCTTTCTTTCTCTCTCTTTCTTTCTCTCTCTTTCTTTCTTTCTTTCTTCCTTTCTTTCTAAAGTAGTTAACACTATTTGATTACATTTAATATTCTAACACAATCCCACCACTATCAATAGATCAGCCAGGAGCTAAAATTTTTAGGTCTTTTAGGGACTAGCCTGAGAATTTGATCCACCTTGGACATGAACCGGGTTTTACATTCCCCCAGTAAACATGGGCATTTTTGAAGGCTCCAGCGCCTCTCCCTTTTCCTCCCAGATTTTCAGCACTGTCTCAAGCGCCTCAACTAGAATCTGTTGCCTTGGGAACCTTTGGGCTGTACACATGAAGATGTTTTCTAGAAGTGGATAACTGTACTTCTGACCTGAGTTACTTCCGACTAAGGTGCATGGGTCTTTCAGGTATAACAGACTAGAATCAACACAGTTGTTAGTGGAAAAAGTCTTCTCTGTGCTCTTCAGTACGAGGGGAGTCTAGAGTCCCTCAAAGGAATGTGAACTGCAGTCTTGAAGAGGGCCACTGAACCAGGGTGAGACAAGGACTAAGGAAAAGAGAAGCACCACAAACGTTTTCTGTCTTTTCAAGTTACGTTTCCCTTATTTTGGCATTTACCTGATGCTAAACATTTTAACTGCTTTCAAAAAAATCTGCAAAAGTGAGTCTCAACATTTTTGTTTGATATGTCTGTGCTTACATATAGGTCGGATTACAACTGAATCTCACAAAAACAATGTTCATGAGAAACAATCTCGTTCCTGATGTTCCATTCACTCTCAATGAAACAACCATCTCCGAATGCAACAGTTATATATACCAAGGTCGAGAAGTCAACATGATGAATGACCTGGCACCTGAGTTACGCAGGAGGAAGAGAGCGGCTTGGAATGCCTTCAAGAGCGTTGAAGAAATAACTAAGAGGACAAAGAACCTCCAGCTCCGACCACATCTCTACAATTCCACTGTCCTTCCTGCATTAACACATGCCTCAGAGACCTGGGCCCTATGAAAACACTATTCAGGTCTCTCAAAGAGGAATCGAAAGAGCTATGCTTGGAGTATCATGCTTAACTCAAATGAGAGATAGAATCTGGAGTTCCGATCTCCCTCAATGCTCAAGAATCAGGGACACTGTCTCATTTGCCAAAGCATCAAAAATCAGATGGGTTGGACACGTAATGAGATTTAGAGACGACCGCTGGACTAGAGCCATTACTGACTGGATTCCACAGGACGCCAAAAGATTGCGTGGACGCCCACCTACGAGATGGTCAGACTTCTTCGTCAAGACCCTGAATGATTGGTTTGAGGCTCTTCATGTTCCTAGAATGAGCAGATGCCATTGGGCTACACTAGCACACAACAGGGATGAATGGAGACGTTACTGGTGCCCGCTTGAGCATATTGATGAGTAACGGGGTATCAAGTGATGTCTGTGCTTCAATGGTCCTTGAAGGACCAAGGCAGGTCCTTGAAGGAACCAGCTCTGTGATTTTTACAGATATCAGTTTCAAAGTGCCAACAGGACTTTTCACAAAATTGAAAAATAATTCAGAGAAGAAAAGAGTCTTCATAAATAGCATATAAACAATTGAGTGTCAAATAAAGAAAACTAGAAACATAAGCAGATATCACAAGGCATATAAAACTTAATTCAAAACAGACATGCATCTGTGTGTAAACACTGCAACTGTAAAGATTTCTAAGAAGAAAACCTAATGGCAAATCACTGCCCTGACATCAGGTAAAGCATTCTTTTGAGTAAGTCAGAACTGCAGATGCATAAGAAAGAAAACATTGATGTATTTGGACTTCATCAGTTTTAAAATCATTCTCTTGGGGCTGGAGCAATAGTACAGCAGACAGAGCGTTTGCCTTGCACACAGCCGAATTGGGTTCGATCCCCGGTATCCCATATGGTCCCCTCAGCACCGCCAGGAGTAATTCCTGAGTGCAGAATCAGGAGGAACCCCTGAGCATCGCCGGGTGTGACCCCCAAAAAAACCCAAAAATAAAATAAAATAAAATAATTCTTGCTGATGTTCAACATCATTAACCATTACAAAATCACAAATTAAAACTACAAGGAGATACCAGGAAATTTCTAATAAAATGACTAAAATTAAAATACCAGCAATTCCATGGGTTGATGATTTTGCAGAGAAACTGGAAATCCACTTTTTATGGAAGGAATGCAGAATCCACATTCACTCCGCAAAAGAGCTTGCCAATTTCTCAGGTTCACTTGCAGGAAAGGCAAATGCCTTATCTGCAGCCTATCAGAAGTCTCTGAGCAGTGAGCCTGAAATGCTGAAAAGGTAGCAAGTTAGTAGTGCACCGAAGAGGAAGAGGTGGACACAGCAAGCACTACCCTGTCACATGACGGACTTCCAGTCATCCGGTTCCCGCACTGTGCGCTGGGCCTTTAAGTGAAGGCCCTCCACCCTATTGGTCAGGGCGCAAAGCACAGAGGGTTGGTGGGAGAGGTTTCTGGCCAATGCCAGCCAACGAGGCAGCAGCAGTGGCTAATGACATCACAATCATGCGCAGAGGGTCCCCGCAATTGCCTGAGGCTGCTGGTTGTCATCATAGGCAGCCAGTTGTCTGTGGCCCGGGGCCACTCACCACTAGTGGAAGGACTAGGCCCGTCCCCTCCCCAGTCAGGGCTACCTAGACTCGGAGCATGAGTTCCCGGGAAGATGAGGACAAAGCTGAGGTGACATTGTGTGGAGTGAATGTGGGCCCCAGGAGTGAGGAACCTGTCAGGTTTTTGAGAACAGGCCCCAGAGTCTCACCCAGACCCGGCCTAGGCATAGGCCAGACGGTGCCCCCAAGGGGCAGCACGGAGGGAGGGTTCCAGGGCCCCCGGGCTTCCGACTATGGGTCCCAACTGATGGCAGTGGGAGAAACAGTGCTTTGTGACCCAGAAGGCCTTCTTGGCATCACTGCGCTCCGTGGTGATGACATCAGGGATGAGGAGCGTCCTGACCTGATGGCCTTAATGCCCGCGTTTACCGAGGAGTCCGAGGCAGCCAGGGAGCCGCCGCCGGTGCTCCACCAAGAGCCACGGGATGTCCGCAGAAACCCATCCCCAGTGAGCTGCTGGGATGAGAACTCCGCCCGTTGGCAGGGGCTCAATTCAGTGGTCTGTGCTAGGCCCCCATTCCCTCCTGACCTAGTAGAAGTGCATCCGGCCGCTGCCAGCTCTCGCAGCCTCAGTGGGCCCAAGGGAGGCCAAGATGGGAGGCTGACTAGGAGAGGCTCTAGGGGCCGGTTGAATGTGCCGAAGGCCCTTCTGCAGAGGGCCCCTTCTGCAGAAGGCCTGACCAAGCTGGCTTCTGAACTTGACTCGCCAGATGACTTCAATGAGGCCCAGAGGGCGAGAGAAGGGAGAGGGGCCACCAAGGGCGGGGCCTCCAGGGAAAGGGGCCCAACTAGCACCCGGAGCCCTGACAATTCTAGAGATGCGCACAGGCGCGCCAAGTTCCCTGGTCGGGAGAACTTGTTTTACATGCGAGGATCCATGCCTCCCTCCCCTCCGCAAAGAGTTCCTATAACTCTGGAGAGGCAGGCTGCAGGAGATCGGGAAGCCTCTCCTGGCAAGAACTGGCTGAATGTGGTTGTGGGGAAGGAATGGGACAGGCCCAGCTCCTCTGGACTGTCCCTAGAAACCAGCCTGCCACTAGGCACTTCTAGGAGTGCGATCCAATAGAAGAAATCCCTCGGGGGTCCCTCCAAATTGACCCTGGGGAGGTCTGGTCCTTTCTGGGCACAGAGAGCGTCAGCAGCTACTCCGGAGCCTGCCACATTCCCAATTTCTGGTGATAAACTGCTTGAGAGGTCCTAGTGGTATTCCTTACTGCCTCTGCCAAGCAAGTAGCCGAAGCACACTGGTGTAAGTGTCAAGAAAATGTGGCCAGTAAGCCAAGGGAGTGTGAGCAGTTGGCCAGAGATGATGACACAAATAGAGATCCATTTCCCAGGGGCCAGGTGGATAGGAATCCTCCTTCTCCCTCCACACCCTTCCCTTTTTCTCATACCTCTCTACCTTGATCTCTCTGTCTTATCCTTGGGGCCTGGGAAGTACTGGAAGCAGGGGGTGCCCATGATCACTAGGATGCCAGATACACCACATTTGGGTAGAGAGAAACATAAAGATAGTATCCTGCATGCCAATGTTCTCCAACCTGACAGCTTTCTTGCATCCTCCCCTGAATAGGGAGTGCTTATAGGTGATTTACCTCAGTGCATCTCTTAAAAGTTTGGGCACCAAATCTTTGATGTTTACTCTCGTAGGCTTCTGATTCTTACCTGCTGGAATTTTCTGGAGTCTGTCTTTTATGGGATCTGTATATTCTCCTTATCCTTCTGTTTTCCCTCATTCAGCCCTGCCTTCTGGCCTATCTTAGGGGTTGATTGAGGTTGAAAGTGCTAATGAAGATAACTTCACTCTCTCCTTTCCTGACTTAGTGTGGCCCCTGAAAATGCACCCTTTGTTCTAATCCATGAGAAATTCTTGTTCTAGATCCAAGAAACCTGGTCAAATGTATCTGGCCAGAGAACATACCATGCAGGTGTCAGTAGCAGCCTAAACCTCAGAGCCCAAGAAGCTCCAAGAAATCCTCACGTCATGGTACTGAGCCAAGGAGACATCATGGTCAAAGAATCTGCTTGCTCAGGTGAGTTTTTGGGTTAGTAGTGAAGGACAGAAATGAGAAAGGGAGACTCAAGTCTGTGCTTGTGGGGGTCTCAGCCTTGCTTCCCCTGGAAGTGTGCTTCCAGGAATTGGGTACTGAGAGAACAGCATACAGCCCCCCCATCCTTTCCCTTGGGCTGTCTGGCAGGGGTGTATTATAGCAGTGTCATTAACTGCAGCTGGGATGTGGACTTCCAGTGAAACTTATCCTTTCTTGTAAAGTAAAAGGAAATATATAATAATAAATATATTTATTATAAATTGATATATGTTCAGCCACCCTGCTTACCTCAGTGGCTGAGGTAAGCAGGGTGGACATGACTGCAGCTGTGTGAGTGTCTAAACTAGGGGCACATTTGAGTGTCTAACCCAAGCTACAGTCTTTGGGGACCACTGTTGTAGGGGGGATCTCTTCAGGGTACATTCTATAGCTTTTCCCCATCGCCAGCAGAGGGAGATGTTGCCTCACGTTACAGTCCTGGAGACACTTTTCCCATCCTAATCTGAGTATTGGAAACTGAAGTGTGTTTCCCTTTTCAGGGTACCAGGAACAACGTGAATATCCCTTAATACCAGAACTTATGCACCTACCTCCTGGAAGAGTGGACTGTCCACGGGTAATGCTTCCTCTGACTCCTAGAAACACAGACCAAGAGCAAATAATGGACTGAGACAGGGTTAATATGTTCCCCATTACACATCCTCCTTCTCCTATATAGGCCTCTTCCTCTACTGAGCACTTCACAGGACTCTATGCACTGGGCTTTGTGGTGCAAGGTCAGGGGGACGGGGGGGAGGGAGGGAGTGGGCAGGGGAGGTAATCTTTTCTTTTTCTCCCCTCTCTGCCGGGCTAGTGTATTGTGCTGCAGACTGAAGTAGCAAGCCTCAAGAAGAGACTTGGTATGAGGACCTGCTTGCTGGGTCAGGGGTAGGGAAGAGTGCTGGGTCTTAGCACCCAGTATGAGGGAAGGAGGGTACTGGGAAGGTACCAGATGCACACACCCTCAAGGAAACAAGGTACCCTGAAGAGGACAACCCCGCAGACCTTCCTCTGCATTGACAGCTAAGTGTGTGTATATAGAGGTAAAGTCTTACCTAGCCTCTCTGTTTGCTTTGCCAATGAAAATGAGCCCTGGAGATCTTCTCTTTGTATGTTTGGAGAGTTCTCACCTATCTTCTTGCCTTCAACACCTCCATAGTATGGCTTTTACTCTGTGTGTGTTTGTGTGTGTGTTTGTAGGTGATTCCTTTGACAAGTTCAGAATGGTTGTTATGCCCCAGAGTTTGAGAACCGCAGTACTTTTTGTTATTGTTTAGAAAACATTTGCACATCGAATGGATGTGATGGGTGAGTGGGTCAGTCCCAGGGCTTCCTAGATAGGGGTGGAGAGGGGTTCAAATTTCAGGGATAAGCAGTGGCTCTGAGGGACAAGGGACAAGAGGGATTTCAGATCTCTCCCTGTGTCAGGAGTCGAGTGCCTGCTAATGCTGCTCTCTGTTTCAGCCATCATGGAGTCCCTGGTTGAAAAATTACGGGAACTTTGTAGTGAGTGTTACACACACACCATACCCCTTCCCTTTCCACAAACCTGTTAAAGGATGGCCCTGGCTTAGGGCCCTTACCTGACTGTGCTCTGTTTCCTAGAGTAAGTGACCATCTTCCTACTGAAGAAGCCTTACGTTTGGAGCCCAGGAGCTACAGAAAAGCTGATCACCTTCATTTCTGCCTGAGTTTGCTCCTTGTTCATTGAATCCTCTTACAACCCTGGTTTAATGACAGTTCATATTAAAGTGCTTCTCATGTTCTGTGGTCTGCCCACTCTCTTATTCAGGATGGGGATCTGCTCCATTTCAGAGGCTCTTCCAGGTCAGTACCTCTGTCATTCTGTGGTCTGCCTGTTCCCTTTGACTACTCAGGATCTGCCCTTTGCAGAAGCCCTGAAATCAGCACGTCCGCCCCATGCCTGGGTCTGGCCTTTGTGTTGGCTCTGTCTGGCCACAGGCACATCTCCTCCTTCCCCCTGCAGGTCTGCTACATGTTCTTCCCTAACTGCCTCTTCGTTGGGAATGTCAAACTTTCCCTTCCCCATCACTGTTCCCTCCACCTTTAATTTGGAATTCAGGACGCCTTTCCAGACTCCTGTTATTGAAGTCCTTCACAGGAGCCACTGTCCTGCTTCTCCCACCTCACCTAGCTTTTGTGTCCTGAATAAACTTGATCTCTCCCTGGATGGTTGTCTGCAACCTTTCTTTCACCTGTGCTTTAACAGGTAGTAAAACATATCAGTTGAACTCAGCCCCTCACTCCCAATCACACCAGATCCCATCCCAGGTCCTTTCCTATCCATGGAGTCCTTATCTTCTGTTGCCACTATGACCAGGAGCACTTCACCCAGGGTTGGCAGGTCACACTCCCGCACTTTAATACCTACCTTTGACACTGTGACAAATTCCTGTGGGTTTTCCCTCCTTGATTATAGTAGAGGGATGGAAGCAGATGTCAGGGCCGAGTGGCCAGGTGCGTTGAAAAGAAAAAGGGGCTGCACAGGGAACTAGGAAGGGAAGTGCTAGCTACACTGTGTGGATGGGCAGGAAATAAGTCTTTTGTGGTATAGCTGGACCAATATGGGGGAAACTTCTTTCAGGCACTGCCAACAGGTGGTCTTGAAATTGGTTGGCATATCCACGTCTTCCACGTCCTGCCTTGTTAGTTACTTCACTTACTGACAGGAGAGGCTTCTTTCCTTCAGCCATGGCATAGGGCTGTGTGGATCTGAGACTCAACAGCACATATTTGTGTTAGAGTGTAGTTATGTAGGTTCTGTGAAATGTGGGTCTGCTTTTCAAGGGACTGGGTGTTTATTGCCCATATGGAAAGACAATGTCAATAGATTGAGATTGGTGTGAGTGTGATTCTTTGTGTGTTTTTGTGGGGAAAATCATCAGGGATATTCTCCCTGAAGAGAGAATGATGTGATTCAGTGAGTAAAGAGATCAAAAACCCTCACAGGAGGAGAACACAGCAAAGCAGAGTAATAGAAAGGAGCCTATCCTGTCAGTGAAAGAAAATTCTGACAATTCACACTGGTGACCAAAAGGGGGAGTCTGGGCAGTATGAGCTGTGAAACAGAAATATCATGTCCATGAGAGAGGGTAGGGTACTTTCCATGCACACAACTGACCTGGTTTAAATCCCCTGCACCTCATATGGTACCCCAAGATCACCAGGTGTGATCTATGAACAAAGCAAAAGTCAGCCCTGATGTCCTCCAGGTATGACCCCCAAACCAAGCAAAGAACATTCAAAGGGTCTGGGAAGATACCTCAAAGGGCTAGAGCTTTGTTTGCCTGGATTCCAGGTTTGAGATAAGACACTACTTGTCCCTCCAACACCACCTGGAGTGCCCCGTCCCAAAGGAGAATGGTGCCTGGATGATAGATAGTATAGTGGGTAGGATATTCATCTTGCATGCAACTGACCCTGATTCAATCAATCTCTAGCACCCCATATGGTCTCCTGAGCCGAACAAGAAAGATCCCTGAGCACAGAGGCAGGAGTAAGGCTTGAGCACTGCCAGATGTGGCCCACATCCAATAAAAAATTTTAATGTAGGAGGCTTAAAAATTGAACTCTGTAAGCGAGAAAAGAGCCAAATCAAGAATCAGACTAGGGGCCAGAAGAATAGTATAGGAAGTAGGATGCTTGCCTTGCACACAGCTGACCTAGGTTCAATCCCCAGCTTACCATATGGTCCCTGAAGTAACCCTTGAGCATCACTGGGTGTCACCCCACAAAGAAAGAATCAGATTGCACTCATCAAGGGTTGGTTCAATTCTTAACACTTAAGGGTGATGGAATGGGGGTCACTATCCACATAACTAGGGATTGGGTCATCTCAAAGGGTTGACATCCCTGGAGTCAACATTTGGGTTGACTCTAAGAAGACTAGAAGGTTTGAAAGCTCCTACGATGTTTGGTGGGATGTGAACCTGAAGGACCTGAAAGTGGATGGAATACACCTCATCTTCAAAGCAGGAACCTCATGAGGACTAAACGACTAAATGCACAGACATGCATGAGAGAGGGAATCATGAGTGATCGTAGTTGGAAATTTGCTCATTTTTGATTCTAGTCTTCCCCATGTTGTCACCTTGTCTCTTTTTGGACTCAGTGGTGTGAACTCAGACAGACATGGCATTGGACAATCACCTTCCTTAGGGCCAGACTAGAACATTTTTAATCTTAAAAGGCTTAATCCCTCCACCTAAATACCTCACCTGAGATTGTGGACTAAAGTTCTCAGACTCAGGTATTGACACCAACCTGCTGTTGGAGGGGTAAAGTGGTGCACTGCTGTCTACATCCATGAGTTTGGGGAGACTTTCCAGGTGGCATTTCTGCCAACTGAGAGATAAGGCAATTTTGTGATTGGGAATAAGTCCAGCAGGGGCCACCATGGAGGGGGAGAGGATGGGAGGAACTTGTGTTGGAAAGGGACATGGGAGGCATGGACAGAACTCTTAGTGTCTTACTCATTCAGCCCCCCCTTCCTTCCTCTGAGTGTACTACATTTCTCTTCCATTTTCACACCAAGTATTGCTCAGTAGTTTGCTATAAATGTGTACACCACAGGCATTTATCCAGATCAGGGTCTTCCAATTCCAGGGGAAATTTTTGGCAGACCCTGAGGCCTTGATATAGAAATTCATCTGGATCAAAGGCCTAAAGACAAGGTCAAATCCCTCCCCTACGTCAGTATGTACTCTCTGGCCTTTCGCACTCAAACTTCCTCTGCATTCATGAAGGCAGTGGCAGATGACCAGGAGAACATTGGGGCCCATACTTTTCATCTGTCTTCTTCCAGTTTAAGAGTTTTCACATCTCCATACATACTACCACAATCACTCTCTGACATTTGACAGAGATTGGTGAACCCAAGAATAGTCAGAGAAATTGAGCACCTGAGAGAGAACTGAGTATACTGAGTGGACTAATTGTTTCCAAGGATGTACACACTCCAATCATTGGAATCATAAATGTCACCTATTTTGCATGGCATCTGAAGATTAAGGTTGAAGATGCAGTTAGTGTTGCATGGTAGTACACCCTGAGATGGGGAGACTCTCTTCTGATTTTTCCTTTTCTGTTGGGTACATTGCAAGGCACCATGGAAGAATGAAGTCTCAGTTGCTCATCTGCTCAGAGTGAACACTGGAGATTTATGAGCTATGTACCTGGCCTTCATTTAGATGCAGTGGTGAGCACTGAGCATAAATTTGCATATCCAGCATGCCAACACTCTCACGTTTTTCATTTAAACTGACTTTGAACTCTCAGTCAGAATAGATTATCTCCTATGCTGACTCCAGTGAATGTCAAGTGTGAGTGAGCAAATCAGGGAACAAGAGTAGGGGTGGTCCTCTATTGTCTAGTGCAGGACCATTATACTGCACAGGTGTTATCTGAAAACAATCTTATTATAAGTAATCATTTTTGTAAAAATTCATATAGTCTAGCCTTGCTGTCAATAACTGGGCAGTTTCCCAGCCTCTTTAAATATCTCTCCCACTAAATATTAACTTTTTTGGAGTGTGATTGTGGACTAAAACTTTGTAGAAGACTTTTTAATTCCTTATTTTTTATTTTACTAATATTTTTTAGCTTTTATAAACTTGGCTCCATTTTTATTCTCTTTCCTTTATATTTAATATTAAAATATTTATTATGAAATACATGAATAAGAAAATGTTTAGGTGGTGAACAAATAGCTCAATGAATTTTCATTAAGTGAACACATAAACATAATCAGCACCCTTATTTATTTTTATTTTTGGTTTTGCACCACACATAGCAATGCTCAGGGGACCATATGAGATGTTGGGGATTGAATCTATGTAAGCTGCATGCAAGGCTAACACCTAATCCACAGTACTATCTCTCCGGCCCCAGCACTCATATTTCGAAAGTACATTTTTTTAATTTATTTTTTTTATTAGTGAAATCCCATGAGGTACAGTTGTAGACTTACAAATTTTCATGCTTGGGTTTCAATTATACAGTGATTGAGTACCCATCCCTCCACCAGTGTCCATTCTTCACCACCAGTGATCCCAGTAGCCCTCCTACCCCCCACCCCATCCCCCCCACCCCACCCCACCTCTGTGGCAGGGTATTCCCTTTTGGTCTCTCTTTCCTTTAGGGTGTTGTAGTTTGCAATAGAGGTATTGAGTAACCATCGTGTTTGGTCTATAGTCTCCTATCAGCACTGTCTCGTATCCCGAGCGAGTCCTCCAAACATCCTTTACTTGATGTTCCCTTCTCTATCTGAGCTGACTCTTTCCCCAGCATGTGTTGCCGGCTTCCAAGCCATGGAGCAGACCTCCTGGTACTTATCTCAAGTATTCTTGGGTGTTATGCACTCATCTGGGGAATATAAAGTAACAGAAAGTACATTTTTACTTCCATAGCCCTGCTTTGGTTTTGGATTCTTAAATTAGCTTTTATTTTTGCACTGTGATTTCATTTTTTGAGTTATTGGGTGGCACTCTTGCTATTCTCGGGACTTCCTCCTCACTCTGTGCTCAGAGATTATTCCTGGTGGTGATCAGGGGGCATATGTAGGGCCAGGGATCAAACCCTTGCTGCCTTTATGCAAGGCAAGTGCATAAAGCAAGCAATATTTTTCTTGTGCTATTATATTGCTAAAAATTTACCAATATTTTTCCAAGCCAGAGAGGTAATATAGCCAATATGGGGCTTGCATTGCACATAGCTGGCCTGGATTC